TTTTTTTGGTGGCCGGCTCAGCCACCCTGGGGGCAGGGCTAGCACAGCATGTGGTACCCAGGAACAAACCACAGTACCTGTGTGCTTGCCTAAGCAGGTGCTGTGGACCGCTGAGCTATCTTGCTGGCCCTTTTGTTTTTTGAGACAAGGTCTCACTATGTAGTTCGGGCTGGCCTTGAATTCACTGGGTAGTTTAGGCTAACCTTGAATTCAGAGATCTTCCTGCTTCAACCTCCCCAGTGCTAGAATTATAGGTATGTACTACTACACTTGGCTCCTGATGGAATAGTCTTGTTTTCCTCACTTTTTTTTTTTTCCCCTTTGATGGTACTGAGGCCTTAACCCAGGGACTGCCTTCATGTGAGACTTAAAAAGAACCTGCCAAACATGACTATATCAAATCAATTGATACAGCTCTTGGGAGGTGTAAATAGGTAGATTGCTATGAGTCCAGTCTAGTAGTGAGACCCTGAACACCCTGTAGACCCTTCCCTAAAATACAAAAAAAAAAAAAATCATTCTATAAAAAATGCAGAGGAACCCTTCTGGGTCTTTAGCAAGAATGTAAACTAGTGCAATCACAATGGAAATCAGATGGCGATTTCTCAAGAAACTAAAAGCAGAAATTTCATTTGACTCAATTATTTTCCTTCTCAGTATCTTGCTGAAAGAGTTAAACTATTATATACTGATACATGGAGCCAGACATTGTGGTACATATCTGCAATCCTGGCTGAGACAGGAGGATTGCCATGAGTTCAAGGCATGGCTGAAATACATAGCAGTACCCTTTCTCAAAAAACAAAGCGGGCTGGGGAGATAGCTCAGTGGAATAAGTACTTGCCTGGTAAGTGCAAGGTCCTGAGTTTGATCCCTGGTACCACCAAAAGCCAAAACAAAGCAAGCCATGTGTGCTTGGCAGGCACCTGTAGTCTTACCACTTGGTAGGCTGAGGTAGGTGGATCATGAGTTTGAGGCCAGAATGGGCCACATAATGAGTTCAAGGCCAAACCTGGGTTATTTAGTAAGAGAGACTGTTGTCTCAGTTACTTTTTTTCAGGTGGCTAGCAACAAAAATATGGAATCCCTAAGGTTAAAGGAGGTGAAGTTTATTTTATTTAGTTTGTAGAACTCAGTTTGTAGAGGTTTATTTTTTTTTTTTTTTTTTTAAATATTTATTTATTTTTATTTATTACATTTATTTATTGTGTGTGTGTGTGTGGCCAGCTCAGCCCACCAGAGGGCGGGGCTGGCTGGCATGTGGTGCTGGGGATCGAACCGTGGTCCCTGTGCTTCGCCAAGCTTGATTCAGGTAGGTGCTTTAGACCACTGAGCCATCTCTCCAGCCCCTGTAGAGGTTTCATTCCATTATCAGCTGTCTCTAAGGCAGAGTGGCATGGCAGGGGGGCAACTGTTCCTTGCTGTGGAAAATAACAAAAGCAACAATAGAGGAGGGGTGAGCAAGCCTCTTTTCCTCCCATATATTGTATGCGGTCTACCCACTCCAGGATGGGTGTAGCACTCAACACCCTTATTCCCAGCACTAGACCATGGATCAGTCACAAACTTTAGACTCAGCCACCTCAGAAAAGCCCACCCCATGATGACCACATGAGGCTTTGGGAGCCATCCAGAAACATACCATAATAGCTGTCTAAAAATAACAAAACAACCCAAAAAGATACAGTGATACAGGGATCCATTTTAATAGCAGAATTCATAATAGCTCTTATCAAGCTGCTGAGTACTGTGAAAGGTGGTCATTTGCCGTCAAAACTAAGCAGTAGCCAGGCCCAGTGTGACACATACCTGTAACTCTACGTACTTGGAGTCTAAGGCAGGAGAATCACAAATTTTAGGCCAGCCTGGGCAATTTAGCAGGAACCTGTCTCAAATTAAGAAGGACTGAGAATAAATATAGTTCAATGTTATAGCACTCCTGGCTTTTATCTCCATTATTGGAAGGTGAGGGGAGGGGGGAGAATGGTAACATTTTCCTTTTGAGAAAAAAAAAAGTCCTATTAGACCATTTTCGGGACAAGGTTCTGAGCTGGGCATAGTGGCACACACCTGTGCACTTGAGAGGCTGCAGAGTAAGAGCATTACTGGGAGTTCAAGACGAACTACATAGTGAGTTCAAGACTACACAACAAGAATCTGTCTCAAAAGAAGTGGAGGGAGAGAGAAAGGAGAGAAACAGTTTATGGGATTGCTGGGTAACATGAGAAATTCCAGATGCAGTTAGAGGAACTACTGATGGTTGTGATAATTGTGATGGAGATGCTGTGAGCTTCTAGAGCACCACAGCAAGACAACACCAAAGAGCAATTCTTCCCTCCCATAAAACTTTGGATCTCACAATGTAAACTGCCCAAGCAGTGCGAGTCCATTGTCAGAGCATTGCCTGACTCATAAAGGGCAGTCACTGCAGTGAAGGAAGAATTGCTCTTTCACAGTACTCAGCAACTTGATGAAGAAAACAAATGAGAGCCAGGTGTGGTGGCCCTTGCCTCTAATCCTAGCACTACAAGAGCCTTGGGGCAGGAAGATTGCAGGTTCAAGCACAACCTGGGTAATTTAGTGACTTTGCGAGACATTCTTTCATTAGATAAAAATCAAACCAAACTAACAGAACAAAAGTAAATGATCTGTATTTTGGGAAGCTGAGATAGCAGCATTGGAAGTCTGAGCCTAACCTAGGCAGTTTAGTGAGAGCCTGTTCCAAATAAAAAAAGAGGAGGGGGGGTTCTAAACCCTGGGTTCAATCTCTAATAGTGGTGTGGGAAGGAGGGATGTAATAATAATTTAAAAAACAAGAAAGAATATTTTGTACTGTTCTATATTAGTGTAATTGAAAATGCATAAAATAGACAGTTACTTAGTAAAATATAAACTACCAGAATCGACTCATGAAGTAGAACATATAAATAGATCTTGTCCAGCCTTCAAAAAGTAGATCCAGGATGGGTGCTGCAGTGCATTACTTGTAATCTCATTATTCAGGAGATTGAGACAGCAAGATTGTCATGAGTTCAAGATCAGCCTCGGTAATATAGTGAGTTCAAGGCCAGTTTGTGAGACCCTTTCCCAAAAAAGCCCTGGCAAAGAAAAAGCAAAAAATAGAGAGCAAGGTATCAGTTACTTATGCATGTTCATATATGGATGTGTATATAAATATAAATATATGCCTATTCGTATTTTTGAGGTAAGGTCTTACTGTGTTACCCAGGACAGTCTTTTTTGCTGGCTCAGTCTGTCTTGGGGGCCAGGCTGGCACAGCATGTACGGGGGTTGGAACCATGGGCCCTAGGCTTTGCCTAAGCTTTTCTAAAAGCAGACCCTTCAGACCGCTGAGCCATCTAGCCGGCTTGTCCGGGACACTCTTGAATTTACAGCCTTGAGTAATCCTCTTGTTAGCTTCCCACACGTGTGTGCCACCATGCCTAGCTCATGGCTTCCTTTTTTTTTTTTGTGGAACTGGGGATTGAACTCAAGTCCTTGCACTTATTCCACTGAGCCATCTCCCCGGTCCGAGGCCTTTTGAAGGCAGGAACTGTGTGTCTCTTTGTTTTTTTTTTTTTTCTTTCTCTGTCTCTCTCTCTCTCTCTTTTTTTGTTTTTTTAAACACTGGGAATCAAATTTAGGACTTTGTGTTTGCCAGGCAGGTGCTTGTGTTGCAGAGCTATATCCCTAGCCCATCTCTTTAGTCTTGACTGTTTCTCTAAATAGTCTGAGCAAATAGTTATTGACTGCATCAGCAAATAATTGGATTTACCCTATGGGCATTCCCCTACTCCCTGGTTCTGGAGATTAAACTCAAGAGTTTTACACTGAGCTGTATCTCCAGCTCTTTTTTTTATTTTTTTGAGACTGGGTCTCACTAATTCCTAAATTGCCCAAAGCTGGGCTTGAGATTTTGTCTTTCCTCAGTCTCTCAGCATGCTGGGATTATAAGCAAGTGCCATCATGCCTGCCCCTCTGGTTAATGTTTTTGATGTTTTGAGGGTGTCCATTTGGGTGAGTCCTTAACAAGCAGTGCTGGGCATGGGATTTCCACACTGTTGTGAAGGCATAGGATGGGCACAGTGGAGGAGGAGGAGGAGTCAACGGAGGGACACCTGTGGGAGGAGAGCAGGTGCGAAGAAGAGCGCTGATGGGTTGCAGGGAGTTTTGTGTTATGAATAATTCCTGTCTGCTTTTTATGTGTAATGAATGATGCTGCACTCTGGGTGGACTTTGCTTGAGTTTCATAAATATTTAATTGGCTTTTTCAGGAGAATAAAAGCAGCCCCATTGATGACTGAAAATGACAAAGCATCCACCTAACAGAAGAGGAATCAGCTTTGAAGTGGGAGCCCAGTTGGAAGCCCGGGACCGTTTAAAAAACTGGTAGTTTTACATTTTTCTGTTAATTAATGCCTTTTAGTAAAGGACTTTTGGCAGCACTGACGAATGGTAGCCTAGGTTTTCTGTGGTGACTTATTGCTCTTTGACTCTTGGAAGATGAAAGAGACAGAATGTAGGGCTTCCTTTCTTTTTGATGCAGGGACTTACGTGTCCAAGGGGCCATCCTGTGACCCTTGGTCATATTTGTTCCCCTTTTTGACTGTTAATCTGATGGAAGTAGGGGAAAAAGCACCAAGAACGGGGAAGGGTTAATGGTGAAGCTGACTTGCTCCTGACTGCCTGTGTGGAAGAAGAGAGAAGAGAAAGATGAAGGATGGAAATGAAGAAGGGGACTTGGATCAGAACAGCTCCTGTGTTGTGCACAGCTCCTCCTTTTATGGGGTGAGCTGTGGTGTGGCTGAGATACAGTCATCACAGAGGGTCTTGGTTAGGATGGTTCTGTTCAAAAAGTAGGTAGTCACTTTGTACGTTTGTATTTCAATAAATGTGGGTACTGATTATATGGACTGCATGTGATTATCCTGAGAATTAAATAATAGAACATGTAGGGAGTATATTTTTTGCGGAACTGGGGATTGAACTCAGGCCCTTGGGCTTGCCAGGGAAGTGCTTATTCTACTGAGCCATCTCCCTGCCCCTCCCCCCCAAGTATTAAAAACTAAAGTGATGTGGTTGTGGTCCTACAACTGGGTTACTTTTTAGTGCTCAATGTATGGGGAGAGGTTTCAGAATGCAAATCTTTTGAGATTATGTAAGGAATATCTTGCCTGTCATGCAGTTATCTCAGAATCGTGCCTAGGGTATATAGAGTCAGGAAAGCCTGGCATGGTGGCACATGCCTGTAGTCCAGCATTCAGGAGGCTGAGGCAGGCGGATTGCTCCAAGTTAGAGGCCAACCTGCACTACAAAGTGAGACACTGTCTCAAAAAATAAAAAGAATTCAAGAAAAAGAGAAAATCAGGTAAGTGCCTGGCAGAAAGTTGTCTTGCTGTCAGAATTAGACACACCTAACTTAGTTATCTTTAAGTTTACCACTGAACTACATCCTCAGCCCTTTTTTTCCCCCAGCCCTTTTTATTTTATATTGATGGATTTATCAATTGTGGTACTGTATTCGGGGTTGAATCCCAGGAGCACTGAGCTATATACTTTGCTTTATTTTGAGACTGAGTTTAGCTCAGTTTGGTCTTGAATTTGAGATCTTCTTGCCTCCAGCCTTCCAAGTGGTTGTACTACTGCTGTGGTTAGGCTTGGTATTTATTTTTTTGCTCTACTGGGGATCACAGTAATAGCCTTCACAGTGAGCTACATCCTTATATCTTTTAATTTATTTTCTTATTTTTATTTTTAAAAATTTTTGTTTGAGTTGAACTCTGGACCTTGTGCATGCCACACAGGTGCGCTGAGTTATATCCCTGGCCCTCTTTATTTATTTACTTTTTAAAAGCTTTATTTTTGCTGTGTGACTCATACTGACCTCAAACTTGTGATAGTACTCCTGCTTCAACCTCCCAAGTGCTGGGATTATAGGTGTGAGCCACCACTCCCAAGTTAATTCTTGTTCCCTTCTTTTTCTTTTTAATGTATTTAGTACAGGGTCTACAGAGTCTCACCATATAGATCTGACTTGTAGTGATTGATCCTCCTGTTTTCAGCCTCCCAAGCCCTGGGATTACAAGTACACATCACCACACCCAGTCTTGCTGCCTTGGTGCGCCTGGGAGCAGGGTCAGCACTGCAAGCCAGGAATCACCATCCCTGCACCTGCTTAGTGCTTTAGTCTGCTGAACTATCTGGCCAGCCCTTAATTCTTGTTTCTTATTTACAAAATTGCCCAGATCGAATTTGAGCTTACTATCATCTTTTCTCGATTAATGCTTGAATTATAATTAATGTGCTACAGTGCCCAGCTATAGTAATAATTATTAAAAAAAAAAAAGGAAAGACTTATCTTTCCTTGGGGCATGGGAGATAGCTCAGTAGAGTAAGTGCTTCCCTGGCAAGCGCAAGGGTCTGAATTCAATCCCCAGTTCCACCAAAAACAAAACAATTATTATTGATGCTAAGTATGTGCTTTAACACTAAGCCACAATCTGAGCATGAGTCAATTATTTTGTTTTATTTTATTTATTTATTTTTTTTCAAAATTTTATTGATAAACAGCAATGAGACAGTTTCAAATCAAATCGGAAGTAGAGTCAATTATTTTAATAGTTATTTGTTTGCAAATATTTCTCTTTCTTTTCTGTTTTACTTTAATTTTATATTGATTGATTGGTACCCGGGATTGAACTCAGGATGTTGCGCATGGCAGGCAGATGCTTATGCTGCTGAGCTATCTCCCCAGTCCTTTTTTTTTTTTTAAGGAGAGTCTCCTTGTATAGTCCAGGTAGCCTTGAACTTGAGATTCTCTTGCTTCAGCCTTCTACCACTACTTAATTGTTTAATTTAGCAGACTTTGCCAGACAGTGAATAAACTGTTGCCTCACCTACTTTTGGTGTTATCTGAGAAGGAAAGGGGCCAACTGGCAGCTGGTTTTGTGGATCTATTTCCCACTGAGGAGGAACAGCCTCAGGAAGGGGAAGGCTGGCATTGCCCTGAACATTTGGAGTCTGAGAGAAAGGGGTACTGTGCTGCCGTATATCAGTAGAAAGGCTTATTTGGTTGGTTTCTTGGGATTTCGTGACTATCTAAAATTTAAGGTCCTTGCATCATGTCTAAAAGTTTGCTGCCTTGATTACCCTTCTAAATGCAGATGGCAAATTAACAGCCCAGCCTGTGAACTTGAGGTTATAGCTTTAGTTTGTTGGTTGTCTGAATATATCTTAAAGCCCTGTCTGGTGCACTGACAGTTGCTTGTCCTTTTGGGTGAGGTGCTTTGGATTTGAATCTCAGTGGTCTAATTGCTAGTTGAGTTTTCTTTGTTAAATACTTCAGCTCAGCCTCAGTTTTCTTGTAGGCAGAATGAGGAATTACAGCTGATTTGATACTTGTATAAGATAGAATCATTACTCTGTATTTTTTGTTTTGGTTGGCTGGTAAGTGCAAGGACTCGAGTTCAGTGCTCACTACGATATGCCATGCCGGTGCCCAAACCAGGCATGGTCCTTGTACCAAATAAATACTTTTGTTTTTGTTGCCCCCCCCCCCCCCCCGCCCCGGCACCGGCCATAGCCACGCCTCCCCACCGCACTTGCCAACACTTGCATTGCACGAGAATTATGCCCCCCCCCCCCCCCGCAGCCCAGCCCCTGCTGGGTTTATTGACATGTCTTCTAGGAAAAAGGTGTTGGGCCTCTTGGTGGTAAAGCGGGGCTTGTGTTGGTGATACAAGGCCTGGTGGGGCAGCGGGAACTTGATCTTAGAATGGAACTGTTTGGCAGCTGGCCAGCATGCTTGCTGGCTGTAGTCTTCACCTTCATGACCTGGATAGATGGGCACTGCTGTGCACCCGTGTCCCTGTAGCACTGTTGATAGCGCCCACTGTGGTTAGGTTGCGGTACTGCTGGTACATGCTGTGGATGCCACTGTGGGAGTCCTAGTGCAGCCACATAATGAAGTTCTTCACCTGCAGTGGAGACTTCTCAAACACCTGCCCACAGTGGACCATCTTCCCTGAAGATTTCTTCATCTTCTTTATGTGGAACATGAAGTACCAGAAACAAGACTTTATGATGGGACCGGGGAGATAGCTCAGTAGAACAAGCACTTGCCTGGCAAGCAAGGGCCTGAGTTCAATCCCCAGTTCTGACAACAACAACAACAACAACAACAACAACAACAACAGAGACTTGATGATGACATGGTTGGGTTTGAAGATCCTCATGTGGTAGAGAGGTAGTGTGTGACACTTTGGGGTGGGCAGGCAATGCCCTACCACCTTGTATTCCCACAAAAAGGAAGTGTTGCTGTTTCTTTTCTTTTTTTAATGTATTTAGTACAGAGTCTACAGGGTCTCACTATATAGATTGAACTTGGTAGTGATCCTTCTATTTTTCAGCCTCCCAAGTGCAGGGATTACAGGCCTGTGCCACCACTCCCAGTCTCAATTGCTGTCTCAGTGTGCCCTGGGGGTGGGATTGTATGCCATTCTCTGCATAAGCAGGTTCTTTAATCTGATGAGCTATTTGACCAGCTCTTTGTTGCTGTTTCTGAGACAGTCTTACTCTGCAGCTCAGGCTGACCTTAATTCACTATCTTCCTGCTTCAGTCTACTGAGCGCTGGGATTATAAACCTATGCCATCCCACCTGGTTATTGCTTTGTATTTTGTTTTTCATATTATTACGAAAAAGTCATTAATTTTTCTTACCGTTATATGTTTACTGTAGAAATGACATTATGGCCAATTTTTTTTTTTAAAGCTTTTATTTATTTGTGTGTGTGTGTGTGTGTGTGTGTGGCCAGCTCAGCCCACCAGGGGGCAGGGCTGGCTGGCATGTGGTGCTGGGGGATTGAACCGCGG